TCTTCGGTGCTTCTTGCCTAATCGGTAAAATGATCCAGCTATATTTGATTGAAAATGACAGAGTCTCAGTTTATGGCAAACTAGCATTAAATGAGCAAGAAAGATCTGATTGATATCCAATTCAGCCATTCCAACTCTCGAAATAGTCAAATTTTTGAAAATTAATCAGTAAAATGATCCAGCTATATTTGACGAAAAATGAGAGTCTCAGTTTATGGTAAACTAGCATTAAATGAACAAGAAAGAGCGGATTGATATCTCTTTAATTTCTTGATGAGAGTCAGAGTTTTGAGGATTTAATGATGAAAATTGAGAGAACAAATTAATGTGAGTCGTTAGAAGTTAAGATAGAACTTTTCACTAATGCAACTTTTCTCAAATAAGGCGTTGTCTAAAACGAGTAAATTTTTGGATTATCTTAATAATGCCTCTAGTTTTATTCAATATACGGAATTATAACAACGGAAGTATTCAAATTGTTGACCGTTACAGTTGATGAAATTGATGAAAACAAATACGACGAGTTTCGCTATATTCATAGAGCAACTCTTTCTATTTGAGGGACATTGGTGATTCTGAGAACAGCACTTTTGGTTGTTGAAGAGACGACAGAGGCTCTGTTTGTCTTCGGTGGTTCTTGCTTCATCAGTAAAATGATTCAGCTATATTTCAGTGAAAATGACAGAGTTTCAGTTTATGGTAAACTAGCATTAAATGAACAAGAAAGATCTGATTGATATCCAGTTCAGGCATTCCAAGTCTCGGAATCATTAAATATTCGAAATTGATCAGTAAAATGATCCAGCTATATTTCAGTGAAAATGACAGAATCTCTATTTATGGTAAACTAGTATTAAATGAACAAGAAAGATTTGATTGATATCCAATTCAATTGTTTCTAGTCTCTGAATCTTCGGTGCTTCTTGCCTAAACAGTAAAATGATCCAGCTATATTTCAGTGAAAATGTCGTAGTCTCAATTTATGGTAAAATAGCATTAAATGAAGAAGAAAGATCTGATTGATATCCAGTTCAGTTGTTTCTAGTCCCGAAATCATCAAAATTTCAAAATGAATCGGTAAAATGATCCAGCTTTATTTGAGTGAAAATGACAGAGTCTCACTTCATGGTAAACTCGCATTAAATGAGCCAAAAAGATTTGATTGATATCCAATTCAACCATTCCAACTCTCGAAAACATCAAATTTGCAAAATTAATCAGTAAAATGATCCGGCTATATTCTTGAGAAAATGGCGGAGTTTCAGTTTACGGTAATCAGCATTAAATGAACAAAAAAAGATCTGATTGATATCCAATTTAGCTGTTTCTAGTTTCTGAATCTTGGCAGCTTCTTGCTTGAACAGTAAAATGATCCAGCTATATTTCAGTGAAAATGACAAAGTCTCAATTTATGGTAAACTAGCATTAAATGAACAAGAAAGATTTGATTGATATCCAATTCAGCCATTCCAACTCTCGAAACAGTCAAATTTTCAAAATTGATCAGTAAAATGATCCAGCTATATTCTTGAGAAAATGGCGGAGTTCCAGTTTATGGTAAACTAGAATTAAATGAACAAAAAAAGATCTGATTGATATCTCTTTAATTTCTTGATGAGAGTCAGAGTTTTTATTCAATCTACGGAATTATAACAACGAAAGTATTCAAATTGTTGACCGTTACAGTTGATGAAATTGATGAAAACAAATACGACGAGTTTCGCTATATTCATAGAACAACTCTTTCTATTTGAGGGGACATTGGTGATTCTGAGAACAGCACTTTTGGTTGTTGAAGGGACGACAGAGCTCTGTTTGTGGATGATTTTTTTTGGCTTTTTTACAGGTTGGTAATCAGGGCTGGACGGATTATATCGCCCAATCGCCCAGCTCTATCGACTAATGAATAGGTTGGAGTAACACTACTTTCAGTGGGGTAGTACTGGACGGATTTTTGGTCATGAGATCCAGCATTCACTTTTTGCGGGCACCAAAAACAACTCCCATATCAGAAGCTTGCTTGGAAAAGTTTAAGCGCGCAATTCGTGATGAATTTGGAAGAAACGATGATCCACAACTGCGAGTAAATTAGCAGTAAATTAAATAATGCATTTTAAGCATTTTACTTTTAGAAATGCAATATGCAAGCGAGTTTTCACAATCTTGTAAACTTGTGAAGAAAATTTTGAGGCGGACACTTACTCGGAAGATGTGGCTGATTAGGAGGCATTGCAATTAGTTTATTTGGGTATGTTTCGAGAGATTGATGAGGAGAATTTGCAGGTAATGAAATGCGAATGGTTTACAGGAATGCACTTGCTAAAAGGCACCTATTTTAGGAAACTATCGTGATCTACTGCTGGTTTACATTTGATTTTTTTATCATTCGTCATAAGGCATCATAAGGCTCGCAATTGTCAGTCAATGATGGCAAAACTCTGCCGATTATGGTAGTTTTTCTAAAATAGGTGCCTTTTAGAAAACGAATCTAAGCTAGTCTGATAATTTTATTTGTTTAATCTGGTAGTAAAACCCTATCCAGATTTAAACATCACCCATCAGAAGCTCTTCTATTATACGATGGCTGCTCTAAAGTGAAAAATGTTTTCATTTCAAAAATCATCTTTCTTTTTAGCTGTGAGCCAATATCAACTCTGTTCAAAAGTCAGAAAATGAGTTTATTTGAACCATTTTAAAACGTGCTGAAAGTTACCATAATATTTCCTCTAGTTTCGATCATTCGGAGAGCTGGATTGTCGGAAACCTTTCAACAAGCTTTTCAATGTAATCCAATGTCTCAACTCAATCAATACAATCATCAAAACAATGCCAATCAACACAATCATTATGATGAGGCGACAAGATATAAAAAGTCAACTACAGCATGAATAAACATTCCCAAGCCGACTTTTACTCCTTAATGAGCTCTTACAAGGTCTTGGATCACTTACCGTAGCTCTCAGCCTAAACAAGCAACCAATTTAAATATCCGATTACCTTATACTTTAGGCCATAAATACTTATCTAACTTTATTCCTTCAAAATGCGACCCAAGAATTTTCTGTTCTCTTTGCCGAATGAGGTGCGAAATTTGGTGCTCGGCAAAGTCAAATCACTCAATATTCAGCTAAATTTTCTTCGAATAAACAAAAATTTTCGAGATTATTCATTAAGAAATGGACCTTTACCGAAATTGGTTGAAGGATTAGAAATCGAGTATTCGGTTAATCGAGCCGATTCGGAGGAGGGGTTTGTTTTGGTGACATTTTGCGACGCTCAAGTCGGTTTTATCGTGGAAAACGATTGCTTGAGACTCGAAAATTCGTATTTTAACGAAATTTACACTGATTCTCCGTGGCAATTTTTTGAGCGAATTAGGTTTTGTAAAAAACTAAAGGTAGAGATTGGAGATGGTTCTTTTAATAGCTTTAAACAAATGAAACACTTATGTGCACTGACAGGAGTTCTCGCTGGAATTCAAAGCGTTCAAAATTTGCATATCAATGCGCCGACTAGATTTCTCCAGCATTTCATACAATATTTTGGGATGAATGTGCATCAAAATTTCATCCTAATAGTCAAAGATTATAAAGATTTCGATGATAATGAACAACCGAATTTGAAAATTTTATGGAATTCGCTTCATTTTGACGATTTGCAAATCTATTGTGCACTTTTTCAGCCAATTAAAGAAATCTGGGAAAACTTGGGAATGTCAAATATTGAAATGATCCTAAATCATGTTAATTCGTGGCCGAAATTCTCATCAACTTGTAAGCTTTTGCTGGAAAATGGAGTGCCAACAAAATTCCCTGATTCTTCAGCTGTTGTTTATTTCGAATATTTTGATCCAAATGATCAATACAATTATTTTGAGTCTTTAGAATATATGATTGCTTCTGTTATTGGAGTTGAACGAATTGATTCGAATTCTGAAGATGCTTATGCTATCACCCAATTCTTTCGAACGGATTTTCATCAATTATATGACTCAGCCTACATTCAGGATTCTCATTATTCACGAGTTGTTTTAAAAAATGAGGACTATTTCAAAAGACAAGAGTATTTTAAGAAAGAAATCGATGATCGAAAATATTGCGTTTTTATGGCGATTTACGATAGAAAACCTGGTAAAACACCGGAAACTGAGTACGACTATGAAACGAGTGGACCGTATGGAAATAATCATATCTGGCTCTTTGTGAAAACTTTTTCGAAAGCTTAAGAAAGATGACTGTTTGTTATGCTTTTCATTTAATGCTAAAATTATCTTTCGCTTGACTCAATTTTTCTTCAGGGTTGATAAAAAAAGCCAAAAGCCAAGGTTAGTCAAGCCAGTGGCTTTCAATCAGATTGGAATCACAATCTTACCGTTGGATTTGACTTTAAATCTTGACTTTAGCTAGGCTTTTCCTGGAATTGAGCAATAAAAAAATAGTTGGCTGGAAGTTTTACACTTTTGTCAACCCTGATCTTCATTCTTTAAACCAAAATTTTCATAAGGAGATCCGTGACAAAATTTTCCGTCATTTTTATTACTTTCTTGGTTAATTCTCGTGTGACGGTTATTATTGCGATTAATTTTTTATGTGATGTGCTGGCTGTTTGATTTTACGATATATAATAACTTTTAACCCAAGGACTGGATTCATACATTTACCATCAAATCACTGAACCTCATATAGGTAGATACTTCAACAATTACACCAAAAACAACAAAAACACGACAACCGGATCAGGCAATTTCAACACAAGCAAACTCTCAAAATGACTCAAATGATGACCAAAATTCTGATGATGTCACAAAGATCGATTTTGACGACGCAAAAATGCTCTCGAAATTTACAAGCGCCCATCTAAAAAGAGATAATCAGTTTAGTCTGACTAATCGGACGCCCTGTCAAAAAGCAAAAAAGGAAATGTGATAAGAAAATGACTGAATCTGGTCAAGAATTTGAATCAATTGAAAAGTTTTTGGTAAACTCGAAATTTTTCTAAACATGCTCAAGCAGTTGCTCGTCGCTTTCGCACTTTTCAGCGTTGCTTTGACTATTAATTGTTATTATGATTGGTCATCTGGAAAGGGAGAGTCACACACTGGAAATGTAAGTTTCACCGAAAGGACTTCAATGATGCAAATTTTCATTTCATTGCTATCATTCTGTCAAATAAAAACTTCAGAAGATGAACCGCCCTTGTCCCGGCTGCGACTACTGCCTCAAGTTTAAAACCAAGGTTTTTCACAACCTGTAAAGTCAAATAATATTTTGCTTTTCCAGGAGAAAAGTAACACTGCTGTTTATTGGGATTGTGGATGTTCACAATATAATGGAATCTCTGGTGCTGATTGTCTGGTTAGTGAAAGAATTTTGGACTCTCAAAGAAGACACTTCAAAACTTTGAATGCTAAAAAGAAAGTTCAAATAAACTACATAATCCGGAAGGAATCAAGTGTCAAGAAGTTGCTCAAGTCAGCTTGCATTCTTCTCTTAGTTCTGTAGGAAAAAGTAGCCAAGTTTAAGGCAAAAAAAATCTTCCCAGAAATTTGGGCATAGTGAGGCCGAGAGAACGGAGGACGGATCGCTGACCGCTGGAATCTGGGGGTTTTCGGGATCGGGAAATCGATTAGAGCTATTCCTTTTATTGAGTGTTCTCTTTGAAACAATATTAGAAGTTAGCAATACTATTATCTCTGATATTAAGTAAAGTTATAAATCTTCAAAGTGCTACTCATTAAAACCGGCCAGAACCTAAGTCCGGGGTTTTCCCTGACCTTACCATGACCTCAGGCTTGACCCGACCTAGTCCTAGCCAGTCAGAGATCAGGCCAAGATCTTGCCCCAATCCTGACTCAGTCCTAACAAAAAACTGCTACCTACAGTGCCGCTCAAAGGTAATGCCCCCCTGGTCCCGTTTTTCCAAGGAATCGCTGATCAATAAAGTGTATGCTTTCAATTTGTAGTTATCCTAATAGTGTTTATTATGCACGACGATGCGTACAAATTTTTAATTTTATCGCAAAAGTCTCATGGTGGTGACCCATATGGTGGTGGTGGCCCATATGGTGGTGGTGACCACCATAGTCACCACTCAGAAATTTCTCGTATTGAGAGCTATGAAATGGTGAAAATCATAGAAAAACCGGCAAAATTTCCCGATCTCAAAAAAAAATCATTTTTGCACCATACCTACCACCATGAGCCACCGGAAATATTTTTAAAATTTGACCCGAAGTGGATTTTTTTTGGATACCCTGTATAGTTCGGTTTTCCTAGACTAGCTATATTATTTCATTTTTAGCGGTCTGGGTCCCAGAAGGAAACGGTCTACATTGACGGTGACAAAGTGACGGCAAGCGCTTTTTGCTGTACTGGAGATTTCTGCAACTCGGCAACGCACAACGGATTCACGATCGCATTTTTGACAGCACTATCTGTTGTGTATTTTGTAAATCGTTCTTGAACTGGTGGTAAAGCCATATTCTCCGATTTTGAGTTTCATCATTGTTTCATTGTATGCATTGAGCTTCAATAAAGGCTTTGTTTAACTATTCAATTGTCAAGGCTTAATATTATAAATTCCCTTTTTAAATCAATTTGAGAGCACAACAAAAATCTAATCTGACTTCAAAATTTCCTGACAGAAAACAGAAAAACCAAGAAAAGGTGAGTGATAAGCAAGCTGAGCGAACTCTCTTTCATGGCTGAATCGATTAACGAAAGGAAAACACTACCGTAAAGTTTATTGAGTGAATTTGTTTCATAATTTCGAAATCACTATGAATAAAAGTATACTCATCCTCTTTTTCATTATCCCCATTGCCCTTTGCATTCAATGTTATGTTGATTCGCGATCGGATAATGGAGAAGCGCATACAAATATTGTGAGTTAACTCGTTTGTGTGTCAAAAAATCAAAATTTACGGTCAATCAAGTCAGGCCGGCCAACTTTTTGAACATGTTATATAGAATACCTAACAAGGGAAGTCCTTCAGGTCGGCATCTGGGATTGAGCTGAGATCAAATGGATCTTATAGAATCTTATAGATCTTATAGAATCGACCATGCTGATCACGAATATCTATATAACTTCTGCCCTGGTTCGCCCAAACGCAAGATATTTGACACGGAAGTTCTAGCACTTATCTTATAAAGTCCCTCACGCATTGGAAGATAGTACGGCTGTGATCTAGTGGATAAACCTCTTGTGTCAGGCGAGACCTCTGGTTTTTTTTGCCTCTGGTTCGAATCCTTTTGCTGCAAAGCTTTTTGCTTTTTTTGTTTTTTTCTGTTGTTTTTTTTGCTAGGAGTCTAATAATATATGCGTTTTTTAGATGGAGATAAATGTGCATGAAGTTGTTGGCCATCTCATGTATCGATTTCAATTAGAGGAAGAACTGCGGCTGATGAATCGAAGCGAGGTAAAACTGTTATCAAAGTTGTGTAATCTTTTGTCTGAAACTAATGAGAAAATCGAAATAGTCACTGATGTAGAATGTAATTTTGAGGACAATGAACAGGATTTTTCTAATATTGATGACTTTTTCTTGCCTTCATTAGCTCTTTTACCTGAACATATCCAATTCGGTGAGATTGCGAAAAGTCGAGATGATATTCAAGCTTTGATTGATTTCAAAAATAATGGGAACAGGAAGTTTACTACAATTTAACAGAATCTCCGAAGGGTACGAAACAGGCATCACACGAACTTTTAAAAATTAATATTTATATCACTTTTATGTTTATTCTTTGAATAAATTTGTTTTTTTCTTCTTCAAATCGAAATGTTTGTGTCTTATTTATTTCCCGATGGTAATTTTGTTTTACCATTAGTAACTTTAAAAAAATGGCAAAAAAGCAAAAAGCTTTGCAGCAAAAGGATTCGGACCAGAAGCAAAAAATCAAGGGTCTCGCCTTACACAAGACGTTTATCCACTAGATCACAGCCTCACTTTCTTCCAAGGACTTTATAAGGTAAGTGCTAAATATCTTACGTTTGGGCGAACGAGGGCAACGTTATATAGATATTCGTGATCAGCATGGTCGATTCTATAAGATCCATTTGGTCTCAGCTCAATTCCAGATGCCGACCTGAAGGACTTCCCTTGTAAGTGTTGTTCCACTCACATAAAGTTGATCGTTATTCGATCTTATCGTTATTTGGCTTGGTCGGAAAGTCAGTTCCAGGAGCAGTTCAATCCGATGTTGATATTTTGAGCCAGCTGGATCAGAGATAAAAATTAACGCTTAATATTAAGATTTTCAGTTTAGTTAGTTGATTAATCTTTTTCAATGCTATAAATCTCATCAAATATTCTTTTAGAGTAACTCGATTAACTGTGATGGATGCGATTTTTGTTTAAAAACTATTGTTAAGGTAAAATTGAGTAGCCAAACCTTTTTATAACCTATTTAGGACAAAAATGTTCACAATGTAAATTGGGGTTGCGGGTGTGAAAATAGAAATCTCATGGGTTACGCGTGTACGGTGGGTTTTTGTGGAAATAAAAAAGGAAATACTAAATCCATTTTTAACGCATTTAAACATATTTGTAAACTATTGCGTGTTTAGGAACCGGGAAAGGAGAACGATCAATCACATAACGCTAATGGGGAGTCAATGCGAATGATTGCCTATTGTTGTGAGAAAGATCTCTGTAATTCAAGCATTTACCTTTTCACGGCACCAACTTTACTATTTTACATCATAACTTTGTTTTCATATTAATTTCAATAAAATTCAGTGAATTGCAAGAGGCTACAAGTCTACAAGTCAAGAGCTAAATTATGTGAACTCTAGAATTGCTCTGATTAAACTTTAAAATATTTGTAAACTATTGCGTGTTTAGGAACCGGGAAAGGAGAACGATCAATCACATAAATTCTAATCAATTGTATGAATCATTTTCCAAAATATCTAAAGATTCATACACCGATTTTTATCATTATTTTCTCTAATACCTTGTTTCATTTAAAATTCTCTTTTAAAACTTTACAAATCCGCAGTGATATGAGACTTACACTCACGATTCGTGCATTTTTGGCTTTTCCACGTCTCCTGATAGGGTCTTTGTTCATATTTTCATTAAACATTATTCAACAAAATCGTTTTGAAAGCGTTCAAAAGTCCATTTCTAAAATGCTTTGCCGAATGATGCTTTTCTCGTTGTGTTTTGCAATTGCCTACGCGGCGCTGACGTGCTACGACGATATGGTCTTTAAGAAGGGACAACAAAAGCACAGTGGGGATGTAGGTGTTGGGAAATCGATCTTAATCTCAATTGAGCAAAGGAATCAGGCGGTTAAGGATACTCATCGGAGTACCTGATGCCCTAGATCAGGCTAGAGTCAGGGTTGCCGCAAAATAAAATCATAGTTGTTTTTAAAAACCTAGAAACAACAGTGGTTAGAAGCTGAACAAGCTTGACTGGCTGATCCGAATGACATTTTTTTCAGGAAAAACCAGTTGCATGTTCGGAGGATTGTCGATTTTGCCTTAAATGGTCGGGCGAGGTATTGTGATCAAGCTAAATCCACGTTTACAAAGTTTTAGTATGACAATAATGCAACAGTGGCTTGGAATTGTGGATGTGGACAGTGGATGGTCAATTGTGATGTGAGTCTAGACTTGAAAAATTAGATCAGCTTAGCAATATAATCGTTGTAGTAAAGCTAACAATAAGATTCAAGTTATGACTTTTCAAACAATAAATGCTCAAAATTAAGAGCAAAATCAAAAGCTTTAATCTTTAGTTTAACACCACAATTGTTTAGAAAAAAGGCAAAGGAACGAAGAAAGTGCAAGACGGTAAAAAGGAGAGGAAGATCAAGTATTGGTGTTGTGAAGGAGATCGCTGTAATTCGGCTCGCCACGATTTCACTCTTGGACTTGCCTCATTAGCTCTTGTTTTCTATTGGACAAATGCTTGATTGAGTCAAGATTTGCATTGTTTTTCATGTATTGCCGTTTATCTAATAAATTTGATTCTTGCAAGAAAAAGTAACGCCATTTCCAAAGTACACCAAAAAAAAGCATTTTGGTCGATTTTTACCTGATCAATCAATACTTTTTTTCTTGTTCTTTCCACACAATTTTTTTTTGTTGTAAGCCACTATCTACAGGTTTTAAAGGCTTTTTGATTCTTAATGCTAGAGACAGAAAATAACGGCCCTTGTAGTTTTCGAGTGATTGTGGATTGAATTCAACAAAAGATTGTCTATTTTCTAATGCTCCGCCAAATTCTCATCTTCTCTTTATTGATCGTTGTTGGAGTGCATTCGATTCAATGTTTTAAAGATAAATTGGAAGGGAAAGGGAAGAAACACACAACGGATGTGAGAGTGTTCGAGATTTGGTGGTATTAGTCGGTTATATTTCACAAATCAGTACATTTTGTGGGAATCTAACTGATAAAACCAATATATATTACTGTTAAATGAAGTCTACCCATATCTCTTAGTTAGTTTATACTTAACTGTTTTTTTTCAGAAAAGCAATAAAACTTGCAGTTGCAGCTTTTGCTTCAAGGGAACCGGCAAGGTACGTCTGAAATGAAGATGTTCGCAGAAAATCACTTTTCAGGTTGATGACAAGGATTATACAGTTTGGGGATGTGGATGTGATAATGGATTCATCGATTGCAAGGTGAGTTTTGTTAGCGATTTGCTATTTTTTAATAACCCAACGAGATTCGATAAAATTTTGCTCTTTTAGACAAACTAGTCCTGAGGAAAAAGGGTCATCAGGAAAGTACCCGGCTTTCAATTCTTCAATTCTAACATTTTCAATCGCCCAATTCAGCCTAATATTTTAGAAAATAGGCAAAGACCACGTGCAAATGAAAAGAGATGAGAACGATAAAGAAAACGATGTGAATTTTTGGTGTTGTGCTTTGGATTGGTGCAATTCTGCTCAAGGCCATCGACTATTTGATATTTTTGTGCCCTTTTTCATCATGTACTTACTAAGCTTTTGAAATGTTATTCTTTTGTTCAACTCAATAAAGTCTTATAATTGTGTAAAACACAAGTCTAATTTGTAAAATTTGACTCCAAAATCCTCCAATTTCCAATGTTATCAAGCCTTTTTCTAAACAGATTAAGAATTTTTGCACTTAAAAAGCACAAAAAACTAGCATTAAATGAGCAAGAAAGATCTAATTGATATCCAATTCAGTTGTTTCTAGTCTCTGAATCTTCGGTGCTTCTTGCTTAATCAGTAAAATGATCCAGCTATATTTGGGTGAAAATGACAGAGTTTCAGTTTATGGTAAACTAGCATTAAATGAACAAGAAATATCTGATTGATATCCAATTCAGTTGTTTCTAGTCTCTGAATCTTTGCAGCCTCTTGCTTGATCCGTAAAATCATCCAGCTATATTCGAGAGAAAATGAGAGAGTCTCAGTTTATGGTAAACGAGCATTAAATGAGCCAGAAAGATCTGATTGCTATCCAATTCAGTTGTTTCTAGTCTCGAAATCAGCAAATTTTCAAAATTGACCAGTAAAATGATCCAGCTATATTTGGGTGAAAATGACAGAGTCTCAGCTTATGGTAAATTAGCATTAAATGAACAAGAAAGATCTGATTGATATCCAATTCAGCCATTCCAAGTCTCGGAATCATTAAATATTTGAAACTGATCAGTAAAATGATCCAGCTATATTTCAGTGAAAATGACAGAGTCTCAGTTTATGGTAAATTAGCATTAAATGTACAAGAAAGATCTGATTTATATCTCTTCATTGATTGATTCATTTTCTGATTCTTTTTCATTGTAAGCACTACATTGGCTGTTAAATGTTACAAAGATTGGCAAACGGGGAATGATCTCGATCATTCGAGAAAGGTTAAATTTAGCAATAAACTCAATAATCAAAATTTAAATTAGCTCAAATCGGTAATCAATAAATGTTCCAATACTTTTTATCTAGGTTAGAGCAAATTTCGTTTTGGTTTTCATCGTTTTTGACTGTTTTAACCTTTAGACATGGTTCTAAAAGAAATGCACCGTCCGAGAGAAACAGATCCTCTTACTCTTCACCTAAACATTGTCTCAATCTTTTCAGGAAACATCGATCAATTGTGAATGCGAATTCTGTCTGAAAACCCTACAAATGATAGCTATCAAAAAGCTATTTTCATTACTAAAGCACTCTTATTGGGGCAAGGACCCTCCCTCAAGGAGACTGTGGATGCTTGGATAGCGATGGGGAACCGCTGTGCACGGTCAATTTTTGCGATGAAAGAAAATTGTAAACGGTTGATTTTAGAAAACGGACCAGCGGACAGATTCATGGATACTTGATCAAAGTGGTTCCAAAACCGAAAATTGGTGTTGCAAAGGGGTTCTTTGCAATCTAAGTCATGTTAGATCGTTGAGATTAGTTCTGATCTCTAGTATTTTCATGGTCTGTATGAGAATTGTTTATAAACCTTTTTGAATGCAAGATAGTTGAATGACAGAAAGTGAGAAAATCGATAAAACTTGCCAACTTTTCTGACTATCGATGCAGACGCTCTAGCGTGCACTCTAGCCGTAATCTATTCTAGCTTTTCAGACCTTAAGTCAAATCTTTGAAGTTTTAAATTATCTGTCTCACAATTAGTCAAGTAATACTAGACTACTATGCGGATTATCTGGGCTACGGTAACTGTACGGTAACCGGGACGCTTTAGATCTGTCTTTCAATTAGTTAAGTAAGCCAGCGAACCAGCGTTCGGGAAAGTTTACAAGCTCAATATTCAATGATTTACATTTACGTTTTCGAAAGTTTATTTGTCGCAAAGTTCTTGGGATTTGACTCATCTCAATAACATCAACAACAATGCTGATATTTTACTCGCTAAACTTGATCGATAACTTGAACCAATACCTTGAAACTCCGTGACATACCTTTGAAAAGACTCTTCGAAACTGGCGATAGGTGTTTTAAGCAGGATTATCATTTTCTGTTCTCGAAAGAAACAACGAAAAGACATGATTATGAAAGAGTGAAACGGTGAGAATAAAATGTTTGTGTGAACTTTGTCACTTTTGAAAGTTTTTAAAAGATGTTTCAACTTATCGCTCTCCTCGGTCTCCTTACGATCGTTGGAGCGCTAGAGAAACACGTGATGTCCACCAATTTCCTCCAATGTTACAAGGATTCCAATGCTAATCATCTCGATAATTATTACCATTATCACGACAAAGCGCATACCGGATATGTAAGTTTTAGATTTTTAATTAAAAAATTGAATTAGTATTTAAAAATGACCAGCACAAAGCAACAATGCAACTGTAAAAAGACGTAGAATCTTATTTTCTTAACTAATCCATTTTTTGATCAACTAACTTAAACTTAACTTAACTAATCAACTAACTAAAACATGTCAACTTTGGGAAGCTACTGTAATTTAGCTTCTATTGTTAGCTTTCGGCATCTTTTATCGACCTCACAGAATCAGAGCAAGAGTAGATTGGATTGGATTGATTGATTATTAGAAACAGAGATCGGTTGTTTAAAGTTTGACACGTTTTAGGAAACGCGTTGGTCGCTAGGACATGTGCCGGGTAAAAGATATGATTGACTACAATGCAAGGAGTGATCTCCTTGCACGGTGGGGTACTGTAGGAGGGGCAATAGAAAATTTGTGATAATAACAACTTTCGGTCTAATGGAAAACTTTAGGAAAGAGTCGACGATTGTCCCAATTGCGATTTCTGCCAGAAAGTTACGACAAAGGTAAAGGTTTCATTTACGATTCATCTTTATCGATTGTAGCTTAATGATGTATGGAGCACGTCATGGGGTTGTGGATGTGGGTCGAGGAATCCGCTTTACAATTGCAGGGTTGGAGTTCATGACAACTCTATTCTTCATCTATTCACATAAAAGTATTTCAGTCCGAGGGCAGAACCCACAGTCATGACAATCGTTACGAAACTGATTACAGTGAAGACATCTGGTGTTGCAGCGGTGATTTGTGCAATTCGAGCTCAACCACAGCCTTGCTTCTCTCATCGATTCTCACTCTTGTCGTAGCATGGCAATAGCTTGTGCAATATCAAACCAGTTTACTTCTTTGCTTTGATTCTTGTATTAGGTTGGAAAGAAAGTTCTCTGAAAAAGTTTAACTTGAATTTCTTAAAAACGAAGTTGCACCATTATCTACACCCGATTTGTATATTTTCGATGCCAAAGTGCTTTCTGATTAAAAAAAGATAATAAATCTTTAAAAATGGAATTTAAAGAAAACCGCGCAATAACGGCATACAACGAGGACAAAAACACTGTTAAAATTCCCCAAAACGAAATTCCCGAAATTTAGCAGAGCCCAGTTTAGCACTGCTCTAAATCTCCACGTGGTTGCATGATTGACTAGCAAAATAGCCCAACTATATTTGTGAGAAAAAAAATTGACCCCCGTCCTTTCAAATTTTTATTAACCCACTGATGAGCCCAAAAAATAGTTCACACACGATCACAAGCAAGAGGCAAAGACCAAGTACGATTGAAAATGAGTGAGAGGGAGACTGAGTAAAAAAACGAGGAATTAATGTAGCAGTATATTGTTT